TATCCCTCTTTTGCCAGGAGTGACATGGCCTAACGAGTCAATTATTGCACTTTTTTTTATCATTTTCTATCACTGACATAGTGACGGTAATGATATGATCTGGAATGTGGTCAGGATATCCAATAAAAGCGGCGTTGTGTTATGCGTGCTTATTTTTGTATTGTGCGATCCCGATCTGAATTTACAGTACGCTGTACGATGAATTGTCATGACCCGTCAGGCGCCGATCGGACCGTCCGGCAGGGACCACCTAAATGCGGTATTTTGGCAGACATGCAGGAGGGATCGGGCCGGCATCGGTGGTGTATGGTATGGTCATTGTATGGTCAGTAAACGGTATGTTACAGCTACCGGAGTGAATGTCTGGGACTCCGATGAAACAGATCCAGTCATTGTCAGGCCACTCTCTGAATAAGGGAAATTGAGGGAAATGACGGGATGAGGTCATTTTGTCACAGGATTTTCTCAGAGGAATTCCTCAAATGGCGTGATTTGACCTTGTGGGCGAAAATTGGCATTTCTAGCATTCGTGATTAGGGTCAGGCTATGACCACAATTGACATGATTTCTGACTAGCTCTCGCCAATATTAAGCAATAGCCTGCGCCCATGTACCTGCTCTTGGGTATTCGTGCTTCTAGACTGCAAGCTCACTGGTGGAACCACACTATTTCCTGGTGGAACCCGATGGTCTAAATTTTCTTTTCGGGAACGACGGGTGATCGTACAGAGTACAGGTCTGCCTATATGGGTACCTTATTTGGCATCTCTGTTATAGTGACTCACACCACCCCTTTTGTGTATATATTCACTCCCTTCCGTCCTTTTCTTCCTTTTCTACTTTTTCTTTTTTTCCTCAATTCATCACATCCTCTCGGGGGTGTTGATCACTCCTCTCAATGCCTAATCTTCTCTCTTGGTGATTCTTGCGATTCCCAATGCTTTTGTTTGATTTCATGATTTACGACAAAAAAAGAAAATTTTACACCTGTTTAATCCTCCAATCGATAGAATGGGCCAAAGACACAACAGGCGCCGTTCTCGATTAAGACCAAACCGCAATCGCAACATCGATACCATCGATTCTCCGATCGACAGTGATCCCTTCTCGCAATCTCCCGCCCCGACCTGGCATTATGGATCTGTGAATTGGACGCGCGATCACCCACTGCGGCTTGAAACGGAGCAGTGCCGACTCTTTGGTGGTGAACCCGAGGGCGATGTTGGTATTTGTTATCGCATGTTGGAATACTTTGGCGGTCTCGACTACATCAATTCGTAAGTATGCTCTACTTTTATCCCTTCAATCGAACGAATTCTTAACATCTCCTAAGTTCACAGTCGAGACTCCCCGGATGATTGAACGAAAAAGTTAAAAGTTATGCGCTTTTGTCTTCACGATGTCCTGATTTCGTCCTTCGATTTATGAAACGAAAAAAAGAAAATCAGCACCGAATACAACAGAACAGAAAACAACCATACCACCTCTCGATACAATTCAACGGAGAGGACCACACTACATCCCGCCGATCGTGACATCCACCGGATTCAATGGAACAACCAAGTTGCGGCTTGTAGCAATGAAGATATCCACGGATATTGGATTGGCCCAGAAAAACTTGGCCATATGACTTCTGGCCCAGAGGTTCCGCGTCTGCGCTACAGAGCGACAGTGTCATCGGCTGCTATTTACTTTGATGGGTTGAATTCGTGTCCAACCGTACATATGGTTGTCGACGCTTGAGTTTCCTGCAAAGTAGATCGGTAGCTGATGATCTCTGCGCCTCTGCTGTCAGCAGCGTGAGGATCTCTGCTCATGTCACGCTTAGGGTATTAGTCAATGGATATCCCTCGAGACATTTGTTGACTCATTCAGAAATGAGTCTTCGGTTTGGGATTGTGGATGTGGAAGCAAGGCGGGACTTCATTAGCGATAGTTATTCCTGTCACCGAAACCAATTCTTGTACTGTTCCAATTCAGGCCTACAATTAGCCTGGCCATGATGGAAATGATTGTATAGTAGCAATTCAGCCACAATGAACCATCATGAAAATTCTTCACATCGTTTCTATCTATAATAAGTACCCCTGGTAGCGCGTAGTTTATTATTGTCTGGTCTGCCTTAAAAAACAGCCTTACTTAGCCTCAGACACTAGTTGTAACAGGCAGGCGGTGAGCTCAATAAAGGACACGGTCGATCACAAGTGGACGAACCTCCGATGCGATAATAATCCAAGATGCTGGACAATTTTCTCTTTCCCTCTGTATTTCTGTCCGTTTGAAGGAGGACATGATTGTGATTTTGACCACCTAAAGGTTTTCTCTACTCTGTCGAAAACAGTGGTTTAGTGTTGCTTATACTTCCACGCTACGGACGGGGCGACCGTCTGCTTGATTTCGCCTCACCATGTCGACAGACTACACCTATGACGAGCAGGTGAGTGGCATCTTGTATGGTTCTTATGTATAGACTGGCTAACTCTCGTCATGACAGGGTCAATTCTTCCCATTCTTCATCCTGACTCTTACTGGCCTCGTTACTCTCCCTCTCACATATAACCTCCTCAAACCCACCAAGAGTACGTGTCTTTTGAATTTCAATACCGATAACCCAATTAACTGTTATACTGTCTAGACCTCGAAAACACCGCACCACGGATAAATTCCGATTTCACGCCCGAACATGTCGACCTCATCGAAGCCCAGAAGCGCAAACGCCTGCGCAAGGAATATCGAGTGAAGCGTATCATCACCGTGATCATTGGGTATGCGGTGATGGCGTGGATGATTTACTTGATCACTGTTACTGCCAGATCGACCCCTAAGATCTGGGATCCATATGATATTTTGGGTATTTCAAGGGTGCGTGGCTTCGTCCCTCCATTCGAATTTGTGGATCTATTGCGCGGGAATATGCTGACCGTTTGTTTTGTTGATAGAGCGCCAACGAAAAAGCGATTTCGAGACACTACAAGCGCCTTTCTCTCATCTACCACCCTGACAAGATCCGACCTGACCCCTCAAAGAACGAGACCATCGAGACACTCAACGATCGATTTGTTGAGTTGACCAAGGCTTACAAAGCGCTGACCGATGAGGAGATCCGTAACAACTACGTCCAGTACGGTCACCCGGACGGCAAGCAGAGCTTCAGCATCGGTATTGCTCTTCCGAAACTCATTGTCACCGAGGGATTCGGAAAGTATGTTCTGTTGGTCTACGGAGGTCTTCTCGGGGTGCTTCTGCCTTATATCGTCGGAAAATGGTGGTATGGTTCTCAGCGGTACACAAAGGAGCGTGTTCTCGTCGCGAGTGCGGGCAACATGTTCCGGGAATACAAAGATGATATCACCGATGGTGGCATTGTTAACGCGTTGTCTTCGGGAGCAGAGTTCACTGAGACGCTCAAGGGATCTCGGGCAGATGCTGGTCTTGGGAAGCTTGAGAAATTGGTTTTGGCTGAGGGTTCTACGTTCCTCTCCTCTGAGGACCGGGAAGCTATTAAGCAGATGGAAGAGTCTAGTCGGAGAAAGGCGCTCGCTTTGTTATGGGCGTACTTAGGCCGTGTCGATTTGGAAGATGCCTCTCTTAACGGTGGTAAGTTCGAAAATCGCCATTGCAATTTTTTGATTCTAATTCTCCATAGAAAAATACGAAGTCGCCCCGATTGCTCTGTCTCTGAACGAAGCATTCAAGGCCATCGCACTCGCTTTCGGCAACCTTCGTCCTATGTTGAACGCTTTCCGTATCTCGCAACATCTGATCCAGGCCATTGCTCCGGGCGCATCGCCGCTTTTGCAACTCCCTCACTTTACCGACAAGGTTGTGAATTCTGTTGAAGGAAGTGACGCCAAAGACCATCTCACTGTTCAGAAGTTCATGGATATCAACGAGGAGAAGCGGCACAGTCTCACAGTCGGTGCTGGTCTTTTGTCACAACAGCAATATGAAACCGCGATTAAGGTTGCCAAGCAACTTCCTGTTCTTGAAGTCTCTAGGGCCTTCTTCAAGGTCATGGGCGAGAAAGTTATCACTCCCAGCAGTTTGGTGCAGTTGGTTGTTAAGGGACGATTTGTCCCCCCTGGCCACGAGAACATTCCCGAAGTCAAACCCGAAGACCTCGAGGACGTTGATCCGGATGAGGATGACCTCGACGCTCTTATGGGCCGGAAACCCGCCAAGAACAAGGCCAACGGAGGAAAGACCGACAAGCTCGAGCCCGTCCAACCCCCCCTGGCTCACGCACCGTATTTCGCCCGCGACCACTCGCCTCGGTGGCACATCTTCCTGGCCGATTCCAAGCAAGGCAAGATGGCCGTGCCTCCTTTCACCTTTACGACTTTTGATAAGCCGATCGTTGATGAGGCCGGCAACCCGACTTTCGACATGCAGACTCTGAAGATGCAGTTCCAGGCACCCCCTGGGGTTGGAGCGTTCACTTTTGTGATGCACATGAACTGTGACAGCTATATTGGCCTTGACATGAAGCAGGAGATTACACTGCACGTTGAGGACCCGGCTAAGGCCGCTGCTCTTGGGGAGGAGGATGACATTAGTGAACCGGATGAGGGTAAGTACCTGGCCTTTACACAATAAGATGAATGAAAGCTAACTAGTTTATTAGATTCGATTGCCGGACAAATGCAGGCTTTGAAGACTGGCCAACCGCCGAAGAAGAAGGCGAAGAAGCCTTCTGACTCTAGCGACGAGGATGAGAGTGATACCGACGGGGATGCGGGTGATACCAGTGATACCAACACCGAGACTGATGTGGATGATTGATTGCCATAGGAGGGATACTTTATTCAATTTTCACCAATTTTGTTGTATGATGTTTTTTCTACCTCGTGCATGTAGAGGGGTAAAGGTTTATATATACCCCAGGGTATGGATATGCGTGATTCAATCTTCTTTTTTTTTTTTTTTCTCTTTTCTTTCTCTGTATTTGGGACCGGGTTATACTGTATGCTAGCTACTTTAACTATGCATTTAGGGAGTTTGAATTGCTTCACTTCTATAGCTCGGCTCCTACCGCCGGCCTACAGCCCTGTCACTGGCGCTCAGACTCCGACTCTGCAGGTGCGAGCACTATTGAGCATGAAAATCTTTGCTCGTGCCCTGTCAGAGTGGGATGACTGCTGCCGACTAGTCTAGACATGGAAAGCATCTTCACTGTGACGAGGACCGTGTGTGATTCTGCATTCCCCCGCCGGCATAACTGGAAGTGATATAATGCTTAGCAGCAGACTTTTTTTAATCCACGGCGAACTTTGTCGGCAATCTGTTGTGAGGGGTATAAAACATGGCTTTCTCTACAATTGATTCAATTCCAACCAACTATGGATGATTGACAATGTCCAAATCCGCCGAAGATACTACATCCCCGGCCATCGCCGAAACAGATACCTCCAAGGATACTACAGCCGAACGAACCCCAACCATAACAACAACCCCTGTCAATCAAAAGGACGCCGATGATACAACCACCTTCTACAACACCCACAAACCCCTCACAAACCCCCTCTCACCCGCACAGGAATCCGACCTCATCCGGAAAAACCTGCTCTACCTCCTCGGCCAAACATGGTGGATATCGTTTCTCATCCACCTCGACCGCGCGACGCTCTCGTCTGCGAGTACGATGGGCATTTTCAAGGATGTTAAAATGACAAAGAACGAGTATAATCAGCTGTTTATTGTGTTTTATGTCGGGTATTTGGTGGCGTTGTGGCCTGGGGCATGGGTGTCGCAGAGGGTCGGGCATAAGAGGTTTATTACAGGGTCGTTGTTTTGCTGGGCAGTATTGGTTGGAGTTCATCCGGCAGTTAGGACGGGGAGGGAGATGATGGCTGTGCGGTTTTTGCTGGGATTGGTGCGCATTTCCCCAGTTCATTTTTTGGGTCTGAGATATGATACTGAGATATGATAGACGGAATCGCAGATCGTGCCGTCGACGGCAATTCTGCATCAAGCGTTTTTCCCTCCGAAGAAATCGCCCTGGGTTCAGTTGCTATGGTGGACGGCTGGATCTCTTGCTAATGTCATGTTGACTATGGTCGCTTACAAGCTCATTAAAGATGACAATGCGGGAACATTGATTGGGGGTATTGCATCGTGGAAATGGCTGCATATCACCTGCGCGATTGTGACATTCGCCATATTCCTTCCATTGGTGTTTTTCCTGCCGAATACGCCCGTTGAAGCGAAGTGGTTGTCGACAGAGGAGAAGGTGCATACTATTGAGATGATTCGAAGAACAAGAGCTGGAATTGTGAACTCGACATGGAAATGGAAACACGTCAAGGAATGCTTTCTGGATGTTAAAAGTTGGCTATTCATGTTCGGAACCCCTTACACCTACCCAGACACACTGCTCACAGGGAATGATGACAGCTTCCACATGTTCTTCAACGAACTTCCCAACAACACCTCCGCCCAAACACCCCTGATCCTCGTCGGTTTCGGCTTCACTCCCGCCCAGAGCGCCCTCTTCAACATCGCAAAACCACTATGGGGCATGGTTCTAATCCTAATCTCCGCAACCCTCCTCTACGCCACAAACCTAGGCACAGGATACACCTGCGCCCTATCCTACGTCCCATGCTTAATCGGGGGTATTATCGAGCTTAGCTCCCCTTGGTCGAATAAAGTAGCACTGGTGGTGGGGACGCAGATCTCATCGTTTAAACCGTCGTATTTGCTGGGTTTGAATTGGGCGGGGACGACGACGACGGGGCATACGAAGAAAGTCACTCTTATGTCGTCGTGCATTGTTGCGGCGGCAGTTGCGAATATGATTTCACCCGAGTATATCCAAACCTAGTTGATAATAACATAACCAAACTATGTCTCTAACCAGGTGCATGGCAGGTTCTGGCAATCAAAATACAGCCCCCGCTACGTCCTCCCATGGTCCTTCATGACAGCCTTCTGGTTCATATCGCCCATGATGTGTCTAATAATCCGGCTCTATCTGAACCATCAAAATAAACTTCGAGAAAAGACCCTTGGACTAGGGGAACAGGAACAGGATGGTGGGCAGGAGCAGGGGAGTGAGAGTGAGGAGGACGCTAGGGGAGGGTTTTTGGGGGATATGACGGATCGGGAGAATTTGAGGTTTGTTTATCCGCTTTAGGTTTGTTTGACATGGGAAGAAAATGGGGAGGTCTTTTTGTCCGAGAGAGTGGGTGGGGCGTTGGGTTGGTTGTGTAACGTGTTTGTTTTATGGATAATGAGGGAGCAGTAGTCTGGTTTGGATGACTGAATTGGGAGCAATGATGTATAATGAGAAGCAAATAGACATCAAAATATAAACTATCTTATATAGACTAAGGAATCCACATAATCTGCACAAGATCAGTTGCATATCTAGAAAGTACATAATATATAAATACATGCCAAGAAAATGATCTTTAGGGCATAAAACAAAACCGCAGATATTGGACAACGTCCAAGTTTTCTTTCATTTTCTCATATCTCATATCCTAACCAGGGGTATGGTGGTGTGATATCTAACGAATGAACATAATGCAGACAGAACTCCCGAAAACATAAAGGATAAACTCCTGAAATCAATATCAGAAAAGCAAAGGGTATCAAACCCGGCCATGCCATGCAAATGATTGATGTGCGATGGTGGTATCTCAACGAAATTGAATCAAGATCAAGAATCGAAAAGGTAAAAAAAAAAAAAAAAGTCAGGCGAAACAAATCGTTATGCGTAACTCGTAAGTCATGTCTATGACATAACATGAAAAAAGAAACAAAAAACAAAATAAACAAGATAGATAAAGACATATACAACTATCTATCTAACGAAAAAGTCCAGCCCGTCGCAACAGCAGCATACATCGGCTGCTGCTGTTGCTGCTGCTCTTGCAAAGTAGAAAGATGCTGCTGATACGCATTCAAAATATCAAGGGGCAGACCAGCTGCCGCCGTCTGAGCGTGAGGCTGAGACTGAGTATGAGGATTCGTGTCTATTCCCGTGGGCAGCATCATTGGGGGATGAATGCGGGTGTTTGGGTCTCCCGCGTAGTACGTATACGGAGACGCGAGCGGGGTGTCGTGGTGACTGGCCGCCGCAGAGGGAAGGGTGGCGCTCGTGCAGGTGCTGGTGCATGAAGGGATGTCATTTTCCAAGCTGACGGTTGTGTCGAGGGAGAGCCGGGGCATTATCAGGCCTTGCTGGTGTTGTTGGGGAGTATGGTAACTTGCACCCGAGTAGCCGGAGTATTGGTAGTTCTGTTGCCGCTGCTGCTGCTGCTGTGGTTCCGCCTGGGTTGGAAGCATGTCAACCTCCCACTTGAATGGCTTGTGCAGAGACTCGACAGGGCTGCAGATGCTGGAGGTCGGCTGGGAGGGCGTAGCAGGCTCCGGAGACGGATCGGTCGTTGCACTGTCGGTCGAGTTGCTCGAGAGGTACCGTAGATACTGCAGGTCTTCGAGCTCTTCATTCGAGTCTTCAGGGATCTCTTCGGCTTGCCTGATGATGCCCATTCGATCGAGAATGTCGTGGGTTAGGGGGTGGCCGTCGGTGGTCATTTGTAGGGGGTCGCCGGGGAAGCAGTGATTGTCAGCGCAGATTCTGTAGAGGCCTTGGAGGCCTTTGACGGCCATGGATAAGTTGGATTCGAGAAGTTCAACGTAGCTATTGCTAAATAATTAATGTCTTTCTGATTTCATAGTTTCTTGGGGAGACTTACCCCTTGGAGTACACCCTCGTCTGAGTAGCCTTTCTCTCCCGGAACAGACACGGATGATTATACGCGGCGCAGCGGTTGCAGGGTTGCTTTCCATCACACTTGAGCCAGTCAGTTTCTGCCAGAGGGAGAGCAAAGAGAAGACAAAGTACTAACCTTGGTCTTCTTGATCCTGCACCGGTCACAAGCCTTCAGGACATGCTTGCGCTTGACCCGGAACACGCGCTGTGGTTTTTCCTCCATTTCTTGTTGGCATTCAAGCTCAGAGAGTTGCGCTACCGCAGTGAGATTATATAGATTCACTGGTAGACCGGGGATATTCGTCTTGGGACGGAGCTTTGGTTGTCGGGGCATCGGTACTTCTGTTATAGCCGCTGCCGCGGAGGAGTAACAACTGAGAAAAGGTAATAAAGAAGAACTTTCAAGATACGGGACTGACTCAGTTTGCGCAAGTGAATTGACAGCAAGTCACCAAAAAATTTGAAGAAAACAGAGGCTGAAGTACTTTGACGAGCAGGTGGGGGAGGGGCTTTTATAAAAGTACAACAAGGCGGCTCGGACTGATATCACACTCTTTTCGTGCCAAATACCGAGAAAAAAAAAAAAAAAGAAAGCTGCAAGCCCCGCATAAGCAGATCCTTATAGCCGTGTCTATCTGTCTGTCTAATTGTCATATATTGCGGGATAGATACTCGCCAGCGAGTGACGTGGAAAAGCTCTGGCGGCTGTGACAGGTACATAGATACATGGGCATATTTACTACTACACCGCAGTTACAGGGGAAAAAAAAATTTGCCCCGCAAACAAAAATGCAAATACTGTACATGGTTGCTGCCCCACGATCCTCTGCTTCGCTCTAGGGCTGCTGACACGAATTGAAGCAGAGGAGGATTTGCCGTCAAACGGTCCGAACCGATAGCAAATGGGCGGGACAAAGACAGACAAGACAGGACGACAAATGACAAAAAGACCCCGGTCGTTTGGGCAGCGAGGGACAGGGTGACATACATTTTTTTTAATTATCGTCACGCCGAGGTTTGCGCTGCGCTGTGCAATGGCAGGTGTCAGCATGGCATGGCTTTTAGTCCAGTGATCATGTTGACAGGGATTTGACGCTGGAAATAACTCTGTAGAGGCTCTTTTGGTGAGCATGGCAAAATAATAATACTCATAATAATTCAAATATACTGGACGGCGATGGGTGTACAGGTACATGGTACACAGGCAGTCCCTTGATCGCTCGAAGTATAGACTATTGAGTACGTGCTATCACTTTCTGCCCGGATAGAACTTGTCCGATATTCAGCTGTGTGCTTCTCATGGGAGAGCACTGCAGAAGGATTGATGTAACGAGTAAAGCATGGGATATGTGGCTGATATGGATATATGGCATATGTACATTATTGCAGGTGAGGGGTCACCATCACCCATTTTTCCAACCCGTTTGTCTTCATGCAACTAACAAAGAAAGAGTCACATGAATCGTGAGTGCTGCAGTACTCCCTTTGCCCGTCTCACCTGGTTGTATCATAGGTACAAGGACCGGGTATCTCATTAACCAGTCGCCGAGGAATTACAGTTCGCCATGACTTTGTAAGTTGTACAGTTTGGTTAGTGACTGGCTGGCAGGTGATTGGACATTCTGTATCAGACTTGACATCACAATTTGTACATACCATGCCGGTAGAAAACAAGCTAAAACACTAGGGTTAGGCAATCAAATATCAACAATATTAATACGACCCCGCTTTGCGGAGTATTTCTAAGCCCGGGATATCTCGAACCAGCGGGAAATCCTTTTGTTTAGATGTCTCTTGTGAATAAGCAGAAGAGGAAAAAAAAAAAAGGAATAATCATCCAGCGCCTGGAGAACATCCCAGCCTTATCCCGGTCAATGCACTGCCACAGTAAAGGATGGCCATGCGTGAAAGGACGCAGTGATTCGGTGGTGTTGAAGATCGCCATTTCTTTTTCACCAGGGACCGGAGGCTGACAAGCAATCATTTTGCTCTGACAGGCCTGCGACGAAAAAGCAACAAACATCTTGCTTCGGTGTTACTGGCGGCGGTTAAACGGGCTATTCGAAAATTCATTCTAGTGTTGTTCGTGACTCAAGAATATTCGATTGCCCGGTCAATAATCAGAAGACCCGATTCATATATAGTAGAGTATGATTCTGACTATGCATGACGTAAATCTGTATATCTCTCAAGCGATAATAGAGCGAGCTTCTAAACATAGGATATACACAATACGCACTCGCTCGAAAAGGATCGGTCTTTCCGATTCTGCACCAAGTAGAAAACATGCTGTAGAAAGAAATACCCAGCGGATACGAGTCCGATGGATGAAATCACGAGTGTAACAAATGCCTCAAATCCGGAGTGATATCCGATGATGTAGAGGCGATTTGGCTCAATATAATCAGAACCAACCAATTTACCTTTGGGGGCGATGGCGATGGCAAGCAACCATTTTATTGGGTAGTCAGCTGACCAGTACTGACAATATGAACCCTAACTTGACAGCCAGTGCATCGCTATGACTGCACATATGCCAGTTCCTGAATATTCTTGAAGAGATACAATTGCTCCCACAACAACAACAACAAAGAAACAACACACACTAGACAATTCCAAGCTGATACATACAAAGGGGATCTCGTTCTGTCACTTCCGCATGCGGATTCCCCACAAATCTTGATGTTGGACCGGCCGTCAACAGCCATGGTTCTACCACGCCTTCGAGGCATGGCAAAAAAGCAAGTTTGAATGTAACCCCAGCATAGTGTTTGTTGATACTATAGCATTATGACCTTTTCCCTTTATGTATACAGTTCAGTCAGACACTTCTCCAGACTGCTATTCAATTGCTTGTCTATGATAATATGGTTTGCGTATGCGCTCGGGTATTATTTTGAACTTCTGGTACATGGTGTCATCCCATAACACTATTCTATGGAAGACATAACCTCTGAAATCATTCTGACATGACCGATTTTAGTAAATGATATAAAAGGCAAGTATGTTCTTGCCCCAGACACAAATAGACATATTGACACAACACATACAACTACCAAAATGGCAACATTCCAGTCACACGTCCACCACAACTTCGAACCTCCTACCTCAGACCTCCTCTTCGGCGGACGCCGAGTATCAGATATCCTTCGAGATGGAGACACTTCAATTACCCGCCGCAACTCCCGCAAGTCCAGCACGGATAACTCCGCCTTAACTGAGTTAGTCTACTCACTTGCAAACCGCAGCAGCAGTGACATCCTCCCCTCACGGCTCATCGGAGCAGATTACGAGACCATTTTAGAATGGGTCAGTTCTGAGCGAATGAGAAAGTTGCCAGCGGAGGGGAGCAGTTATGATAAGGCGCTGGTGTGGGCAAGGTTATTTGTTGAGCGCTTGCATTCGTTTGATTTGGCTGTTGAGAGCTTCGCGGGGGATAACCACATGGCGGCGCAGTTGGCCTATGTTCATTGCGCGAGTTTACTCGGCGTATGCCTCCTTCCATTAATTTTCGGGCGAGACCGACACTGAAAACATCTAGCTCGGAGAAGAAAACTCCAGCGCTCTGCTCGACCTTTTCGGCTTCTTCTACCGCTGTTCTATGGGCCTAGGTAACTTACTAGATTGCGTTGAATTATTCATCGTCTCTCAGAATATTAGAGACCAGCTGATCTTGGCTTTGGCGGATCTGGTCACCCTCGTTGTCGGGGTGTCTACTCACTTCCTCGACTCGCTGGGACAGTTGACATCTGGATCTGTGTCAATTGACATCTATAGCACCTTTGCGGCACCTATTGAGAGCTTCCGTGCCAGGTGCGACTGTGTTGCTGAGTTGATGTGGAGTCATCAGCTGGCGCAGGAAGGCGTGGATACTAAAGGTAAGTCGTTTCTCCATCTTCTGGCGATAGCTTTCTAACTTATATTTTTCTAGTGGCAAAGCTCGAAACTATCAGGCAATGGCTTGAGCCCGAAGATCCAGTGTTAGCAAATTTTACCGAGAACACCGCACACTTCGCCCAGGAGCGCGAGGAATCGACCTGTCTCTGGTTGATGCCGTACCTCAACCGTTTTTTGAAAGGTGATCAGCACACAATGGCCATCACAGGTCAGCCTGGATCAGGAAAGTCCATCCTGGCAACAGTCATTAATGACCATCTGCAATACCCAATTGGGGGCGTGAACTACAAGCCGATTTTTGTACCAATCAATAGTCGAGTTCCAGCCAACACAACTCCTCGCGCAGTTGCAAAATCTATCCTCTCCCAACTCTTCGCCGGCCGCATTGGCAACGTAGACCTCTATCAAATCCTCTCAGGCGCTTGTTCCCAGTCCCAAAAGACAATCGACAACGAAACATACGACAATACCCTCTGGACTGCCCTCGGAAATGCCCTCCAAGCTAGCCTTCAAGGCGCTAAGGAACTCGTCCTCGTCGTCGATGGCGTCGACGAAGCAAGCTGTGGCCAGTCCGCACTGCTAACTCGACTCCGGGATGCAGCTGCTAACACATCTAAGCTTAAACTAATCGTGCTAGCTTCTGAGAAGGAGTCGGCAGCTACAGTTTCCAAGGCACAGACTGCAGTGCACATCACTCCGGAATTAATCTTCGACGACGTGGCTGCTGTTGTCCAGAGAGCCTTTCAGGACTTTCCGGCATTTGACCAGATGCCCGAGGAGCAGCGGGAGTTAAACGTTACCCGTATCACAGAGGCTGCTAATGGCTCGTTCCTATGGGGGAAGCTCGCGATGAAGAAGATTCGTGATGAGAATCATCCTAACGCGGAGAGTGTGACTAAGGCCATTGACAGCTTGTTGAAAGCAAACCTCTCCGTCTCAGACCTCGTCTCTCATCGCCTAGGGTCAGACTTACATGAAGACGGGAAGAAGATTCTGTCTTGGCTCGCGACTGCGTCCCGCCCGATGACACTACGGGAGTTATCTGCTCTTCTCTCCGTGCAGTTGGACAAGGGCACCATTGTGGACCAGGACAGTAACCCGCTGACTCTTCTGAAGCCGGTGACGTCGCTGGTGTTCTACCAGGGTAACATGCTCTATCTGCGCCATGGCCAGATCCGTGCAGCTATCACTGATGCATCCACGAAGGGCTCCCTCTTGCCCGCCATCAAGAATAGACACGCGGATTTGGCTCAGCGATTGCTTCTCTACGTCAAGAGGAGCGTAGCCAACGGCAGCGAGCCATCCTTGACATTCTCGGATGAATCATCCACAACGACCCAATTGGAAAAGTGCCCACTCCTGGACTTTGCTCTCCGGTACTGGGTGAATCATGTGAAGACTGCATTTGGCTGCACCACAGACCAGGAAATCAATACTGCAAGCAAAGAACTCCGCCCCGTCATGCCAACAACCCCAGCAGTGCCGCTGCTTGAAACGACCGTGTGGAAGAACAAGCCAACCCCGGCGCTGGTCAGCCTGCGTACACTAGAGACTAGCATCTACGAGCAAGTCCTCACCAGCAACCACGCAGCCACTCTACAGGCAGTCCTCTGCCAGGCTCTTGCTTACCGGCCACTCTGGGACGTGTCACAGATACAGGCAACCCAGGTTTTCTACCACGCCGTGAAGACCTGCCAGAATGTTCTCTCCGTGCAGCATGTCATCACCATGCAAGTCACCAAGGAATTCTTGGATATCACCGCTAGTCGGGTCACGGCTTCTAAGACCGATGTCATGACGAAGCGGACTGAGATGCTCCAGCTGCTGGTGGAATGCTACAAGATCCACTACGGCGCCACGAGCGAGGCGGTTGTTTCGGCATCGACGCAGCTGTCGGAGCATTACAAATCAATTAAGGAAGATCACAAGGCGCAGGAAGTTTTGAATTCAATTCAGGGAACCTCTACAGAGAGCCATACCCGGTCAAAGTCCCTGTCAACCGATGAGTCGTTGCTGGTGCAGCTCAATGGCCGCCGGGAGTCGATCCAGGAGGGCACTGTTCTCGCGCTAAACGAGAAGGAAGAAGATGATCTCCTTTCTTGGTCCTACAGCTTCGACGCCATGATCAAGCGGGCTGAGAAGTTTACTGCCGAGGGCAATACTAGGGCTGCAGAGCGCACATATGTCGAGATCTGGCAGCGAACTAGCAGAGACTTCCGCTTGCAACGATCTTCACAATTGGAGTTACAGAATATCAAGGCGACCCTGCTGTACTCTAAATTCTTGCAATCTCAGAAGAGAGAAAACGAAGCGTCTTCGGTTCTCTCGGGCTTCTGGGAGGAGTACGAGCACACCATGTCCAGCTCCGAAGCGGTAGCCTCGCAGTTGATGGAAGTCGCCAAAGTCATGAAGTCCGTTGGATTATCGTGCACGGCTCTCAATGTGTTCAAGAAGTGCGCCCAGAATATCAGTTCACAGAGTTCTCTACATAAAGAGCTCCAGAATCTTGCCCAGTCTACTTCCAAAGAAGTCATGCAGAGCGCGGGAACATCGACGTCAACAATGACAGAGTCGAGTTTGCAGGAGATGGTCTTTGGCAGTACATCTGCGTCCGCGTCCAAGAAGGATCAATTTTCTTCGACGGCCACAACAACCCTCGTCCAGATGTACATCTCCCAGCACCGCTGGCGCGACGCCACCAAGACCCTGAAGAAGATCCTGCTAGTAATCTGGCCCGTGCTATTCGTCCCCTCCGTCCACGACGTCGTCCTTCCGTCCGAGAACGTCGAGCACTGCGTCGACCTCGCAGAAAACCTCAAAAACTGCTACCGCTACCGCCACCGCTCGGCCAAAGAAGAAGACGTCTGTCTCCGTCTCTACCACGCCGTGCGCCGTTCTCGACCCGCCGGTGACAAGCTGCTCGACCGGGTGACCAAGGATCTCCTCCGCGTGTACGAGCGCACAACGCAGACAGAAAAACTGATCCCCATCCACCAGGATATTCTTAATGACTATAGCAAGCGGTTTGGAGAGGGACATCCGACTGTGCTTCGGGAGTTGCGGGTCCTGGCTGAGATGACGCATTCGCGAGCGGAGTCGGTTGACTATTATTCGCGCATTTTTAAGGCTTTGAATAAAGATTCGAGTACTTGTCATCGGGATGCGTTTGAGCCGCTGATTGCTGTTGTCACGGAGTTGTTCAACCAGGGACGATTCTCTGACGCGCTGCAGCCGCTTACGGTGTTGTTCAATACCCTACCGCACACGAACGTCAACCCTAAGCTTCGGGATCAGACATTCGTGAAGTCGGTCTTTGATAACTACGTGCAGTGCCTGCGGTTGGTCCAGAGAGACGTCCATGTTATTCACGACGTGGCAGCTCAGTATCGGAAGACGTGCACGACTGTTTTTGGAGCAACGGCTTCAATCACGATCCAGGCCACGCAGACGCTGGCCAACATCTGTCGCGAATCTACGAAGTACGAGTCCGAGGCAGTGCAACTCTACGAAGAACTGCTCAAGGCACAGTCGAACGAAGTAGAGATCGATTACGAGGACATCCGGGCAACACTGGATGCAATCTACGAAGACCAGTGTGCTTCTGTCTCCTCATCCACAGAGTCCGTCTCCAAAGAGCAGATGAAGAAGGTAATTTCGGTCCGAAGTCGACGTCTAGCAACTACCCGGTCAACCAATGGCTGGGCACACCAAGATTCGCTCTCGCAGATGGACGAGCTGGTTTCCCTATATGCCAAGCGAGGCGAAACACACACTGCTGTCTCGTTTCTCCAAGAAGCAGCCATCCAGGTGCTGGTGACAGAGACCTCAACCATGAAGCTGACCGCTGCCGCCAAACACATCGGCTCCAGCTTCATAGAAGCAGGTCAAGTCCACCGTGCTAAGGAACTCTCGCAGGAGATCTATCGCCAGATCGTCGCCAAGGATACCGTGAACATCAGCACTGCCAAGTTTGACTTGACTGTCAAGCATCGCCAGACTCTGGCCTTCCTGGCTCAATTCGAGTACAGCATCCGCGAGCGAGAGGAGTCATCACTGACAGTGAACGAGATATACTCCTCGTTGACAGCTGAGTATCTATACTTTGAGCAGTTCAGGGCGGAAATCAGTTCCGCGAAGGCGAGCAGTTTCCAGAGTGTCATCGGGACTGTGTCTCGTCTACATGGATTCCTCCGTTCTAGAGGCCGTTGGTCCCCCGCCGCGAGACTTGTGGACCAAATCACCAACTACTTCGTCTCAACGCAGAACGAGAAGGTCCAAGTGAGCGCCAGCCAGGCAAAGGTCTTCATCAGCACACTCCTGGAATACTTCAGTACACACTCATCGCACGACTTCCTCCGTTCCGTTGCCATCGCCAGCTACAACCGTGTCGAACAGCACCTCTCCTCAAAAGACTACCAATCCGCCTGCGACCTAGCTTTGACCTCATTCAAATTCATCCGCGCCCACGACGGCTTCTCCTCTTCCATGTCAATCATAAAACTAGGCTTCAAGCTCGGCCTCACCGTTTCCGGCCGTGACATCCAACCCCGTCCCGATCCCTCAACTAGAAAGAACATGCTCAACACTTCCGCAATCATCATGACCGATATCCTGAGCTACTGCAAACTCAAGAAGATCGATCTCTCCCAGCTCGACCTCCTCAACCTAAATAACCTAATCGGCCTCCTAGACGAGCAGAAGGACTACAGCACACTGGAATGGGTCCTCACCTCGCTGTGGAACAGTCGCGAGCGGCACGCCCCCTGGCAACAACAATCATCCTACACCCTCGCTCTCGGTCGCATGCTTGTTATCACCCGCTACCTGGTCGGCGATTACATGGCTGCTATCCGGCTGGCCGAGGATATGATGTACAACAGCGCTCGCGTACACGGGCCACGTCATCCAAGCTCCATTGAAATGACCATCCTGCTTTCCCAGATGTACACCAGCGTCGCGCAGGGGTACCAGAACCAAAAGGACCGTCGTGACCTCGCATACAGATACTACCGTAAAGCTGCGGGCTTGCATGAGAACGCCCTCCGGGTCTTCATCGACCCCAGCGCCACCGAAATGGTCGAAGCCGCCTCATCGGGCTCTGAGTCTGAACCGGCCAGTCCCGAAGAAGGGGCCGAAGAGCGGACGGGAAAGTATGTCCGGAAGCATTTGCATCTGCTTAAACTTGCTGTGGAGCGGTTAGGGAACTGGCCCAAGGAATACTCTGAGTATGAGAGATTGAGTTCGGAGCTGTTTAGTGTATTTGGGGGTGATTTGAAGGGGATTGAGGGGGTTGATAAGTGGAATTTGAAGAATTTCGGGTCTGGGAAAGCGGAGGCCAGTGATGATTTGATTTCGGTCAAGTCGTACCCCGGGATGGGGTTGGAGGGACATGCTGTTGCTGTTTGATTTTGGGGGGTTGAGAGATTGGATTTGAGAAAAGTCTTTTGTATTTCTAGTTAGTTCTTTGTCCGACTAAAACTCCCTTCATACATTATCGATTAACTAACCGCCTTAAGCAAACATCTATATACAGTATCCAAACCTAAGCTTTCTCCCCAGCCCTAGCAATTACATCCTCCCAAAACCCATTCTCCCCACCCGGAACCCTCAACCCCTTACCCTCCTTGTCCCCGTCCTTCGCACTAGCAGGAGCCAAGCTCTCAGGAAGAGACTCCAAAAGGCTCTCCCCATCTCTCGCAAACGCAATCAACTCCTCCTCAGCACCCCATTCACCCATCGCCATGATGCCCATTGGCACGCCATCATCAGAGTAACCGCCGGGACAAGAAATAGCAGGACAACCTGTGTAGTTCGCCAACCAAACGTACTCCATGTTCCTGACGGAAGACTTTCCGTCTGACAGGCCATGTGCGAGATCTGACTCCCCGCCGTCAATCCTCCACCCCGGGATCGGGGTGGTGGGCGTGAAGATGAGTAGACCAGGATGTGTCTGGAAGAGATGCGCGAGGTGTGACATGAGGAGACTCCGCAGACGCTGCGCAGCGAGGAAATCCGCAGACAGAATCTGCCATGCCGCAACGGACATGAGGACCTTGTTTGGCGCAGTGAGGTGTTTGATTTGCCGCTTGGGTTCTAAGCCAGAAGCAATTTCGGACATGATAGTGAGGACGTGTGCACGCTGGCCTTCGGGGAGGTAGGGGATGTGGATATCGATGGTTTCGTAACCTTGTTTCTTGTAGTAGGCGAGGGCGTTGTCGAAAGCGGCGCGGACGGGGGGTTCGGCACGGTCGATCCAGTCACGGACGAGGCCGATTTTCTTGGTTTTGTTGGTGTCTATGGGTGTGTTTTGGGGAGGGAAAGCGGAGGAATTTGAGTCTTCGGATGCTGGGGGTGGTGCGGCCATGATACGGTATGAGTGGGCGAGGTCGTCGATGCTTGTTGCCATGGGTCCGTAGACACCGACTGTAGGTGCGAGGCCTAGGGTAGGTGCTGCAGAGACACGGCTATGCGAGGGCTTGAGTCCCCAAAGACCGCAGAAAGAGGAAGGGATTCGGATCGAGCCTCCGCCGTCTGCGCCCAGGGCAATGGGGACCAGTCCTGTCCCGACGGCGTAGGCTGAACCTCCTGAAGAACCACCGCAGTAATAGTCACGGTTGTGAGGGTTGCGCGGGGTGCCGTAGTTGGGGTTGTTGTTGTTTGTATCTGTCTGAATTAGCATCCTGCCCATGCACCTGGCTATATGTGCACTCACCCAATCCTAGCTCATGCATTGTAGTCTTCCCAATAACAATAGCCCCAACTTCCTCCCACTTCCTCACACACCAAGACGTCCCCTCCAGCCCATTTTTAAAGTCCATCTTCGTTCCCAGCGTCCGGTCATACCCTTTCACATGCACCTCATCCTTCACGACAACAGGAACTCCATCCAATGGACCCAGTGGTTTCCCATTCTTATACCGTCCCGCAGAAGCCTCCGCTGCAGCCCGGATTGCATCCACCTTCGACTCAAGGAACGCGACCGAGTGCTTACCGGGCGGCTGCGCATCGCGCCGGATCAGAGACAACAGCGTCTCGACGACATCAACGGGAGACAACTCCGCAGCCTTGTAAAACGCATGATAATCCGCCGACGTATAGTATCCATTCTTGCCTTGCCTTTTCGTTTCTGGCGCAGGAGGGTCCGTCACAGTCTCGGTGTGATCGCGGCGCACCGGGATCACGGTGGGATCGTAGCGGGCGGAGTATTGCTTGAGCTGGGGGATATCGTGGATAACGTCGAAGCCGGCATTCTTCCAGAAATGGCTCTGGATGAACCCGATGTTATGGATCCTAGAAGAATTCCACGTATTAGGTTCGGTTTGCTGGAATGTGTGGTTTAGGGTGTTTGTTTGCTCACAATGTAGCTCCAATTACCAGTGGAATGCCCCGGAAGACGGGGATCGACTGGGTTTCATTTTGGTAAGGCGCTAGAGGGCCTTCGCGAGGCTCTGGATAGTTGACGAATTGGTTGTTTTGGTTGGAAGTCATACTGAAGTTAAATTGGAAGTGTCGAAGTGGTTATGGGAGGATGAGTACTGGTGAAATAACAGTGATAGCCGAGTGGGCCCGATGATCACATGTTTGCAAAGTAGTACAAATAAAGCAATATGCTGTGCGCATTCAATAATATACAACTAGTCTAGAATACACAGGAATATTTCAAATCGTCAACTTGATGTTGGCTTTGTCCAATCCCACCGCAACTCCTGTCAGAATTGCCGCATATCCCGCCAAGACCACCATGGCTTGAACCGTACTGACGTCGAGGGTAGGAATGCTTAGATTTACTGCTCCTGTGAGGAGATTCGCAAGAAGGAAGATCGCGAGGCCATTCTTATTGAACGCCGCCATGATCGGGCTGGTCGCGGATGAAGTGCGCTCCGCTTCGCCCTCCTTAGACGGTGTCCGAGGTACCGGGAAGAACATGGTCTCGATGAGGCAGAAGAGGAAGAGCTGCGCATTATTAAACGCACAAACCCAGAGAACGTATGGCATGTTTGCGAGGCGTCGCGAGACTGGAATATTGGCCCCATAGCCTCCCGCGTAGGTGGAGTTGAGTACGAAAAGGGCCGTCCACGCCAACGCCTGAACTCCCAAGTGGACAAGAACGCTCTTTCTTGCTTGCTGCAGTGTCTTTGCCGTGCCCCGGGACATGATACGGGCGCCAATCGCCCGACCAGCTAGGAAAATGGCCAGATAACCCAAGAAGGAGAAGACACCCTCCCGGTTCTTGGACAGTAGATCTAGCCCACGGTCTGCAACCATAATGTACCATTTCAGGTCAGTTGATTCCAAAGCGACCTGGTACAGAACAGCAATTCCCAGAGCAAGGACCTCATATGACGGGATAAAGGCAGCCAAGGTATCGAAGATCTCCACGAACGGGGCCAGAAGCCCGATGGTAAAGAAGAAGTTCCAGTGCACGCCGTATTCTGTCACATGTTCCGCGTAGTCGAGACCCTTGACACTGTACAACCGTATCAAACCCAGAACCAGCAGTGGAATGGAATGGCGGGTTGACGCTATAAACCTCTGCAACAACGGTATCCTCTTAGCCTGATTGCTCCTGCCCTTGAGAAGCAAGCGAGCAGATACTACTCCTCCGGAGAACACAAACGAGCCCACGCCCAAATCCATCAGCGATGTTCCCCAGTTCTCAGCCTTGGCGAAGCGGCGGGGAAAGACGCGAAAGTCGACCGCCAGTATAGCAACGCAGGTGATGATCATCATGGCGGCGCGGTAGATTGTGAGAAACGGGTGGATTGGTAGGGACTCGAGCTGATTTGTAGCATCGTGTGATTTGCTCGAGGCTTCTCTTTGTGGGGGTTTGGCTTTTTGAGCGTGCGAACGAGGGCTATTGCGGAGCAGGAGGAAGGCAGGAGATGCGATGAGGAGGTTTAAGAGCAGAGGAGCAGAAGAATATAATGTCGTTGCGAATAAGATGGCCGTTACGTTCAGTAGGAAGTCGACGACAAATGCGGCAGCACTGTACGGCGCGAAGAACGACAGGCGGGATTGAAGGACAGACCACAGAAAAAAAGCGACCTAATCGCACATCGTCAGTCAACAGACAACAATCAAAGAAGCAATTGAGATCCACGTACCGGTGCGACCAAAGTGACTGCGTTGATTTCCAGTATACTTCCTCCGGAGAGGTCCGACACGAAGGCCTCTTTCCGGGCTTTGTAGTTTGGGTCCATCCTGACAGTTTATGGGAATATGCGGACTGTTGGATCACATAGCCTTGCTCAAGGAATGGGTAGTGTAGTCTGGCTTCTTTTCGGTGATGTGTTCACAAAAGAGTTCATTCTGCCGTACGGTATTCTGACCGCCGACTCCGCCTACTTAGTTTCTATCCTCCACCATCATTTCCCAACTCCATAGCGTTCTGGTAGAAAATTCTCCCAAGACTGAGATACGCATCTGATGAATATCTAGACGAGAATAGCTGATACCGAATCCAAACATGCATAAAGTGCTTGATATTGAAAACATTTTCTATATAAGTTACGTCTTAAGACACGGAACTCTTGAAACGTGCCAGCAGGGTATCATTCCTCAGGCATTGTATAGGCTAAAAAATTATGATATTGAAACTGTGCGATGAGACAGACGTTGGAATAGTATGAGAATAGACATACCTCAAGCACAAGACAAACATGCATCAAACCTCTCATGTGTCGAACACACTGTGACCATCCATCCTTTGCGAAAACTGCTTGAGAGTGATGGCGCTTCATCGTCACATGCTGGCGGATTGAAGAGACATTCTCTGATACAGCCTCAAGATCCCCAGCCGTCGTTAGGCGTGGAGTACCCCATACTATCCTCCGGACGCGATGTGTCACAGCACTCTTAACGGTCAATTTTTAGGCATCGTGAGACACCTTGTCCCTTGAGAATTCAGCTAAGATCTCTTGTTATCCGTCACTGTTGCCCAGACTACGGCATATCGAGGGGTCTCATTCAAGTTACCATACACTTGTTGTCTACAAGTCGCTCAGAGGTTTTGGATAAGCTCATTGTATTGCCTGAGGATACGAGTCAACAAGGCTGGGTCCGAGGCTTGGATCGCTTTGAATTACGACCCAAGGCTTCTCAGACAGGAAATCCAATCTCTGTCTTTGCGATATTGTAGTCTATTCTTAAGTCCCATTGAGGGAATGAGCTCTCTACTGTAGAGGTGACGTGGGACGACTTCCCAATACGGATTAGTGTGCGCAAGCCGCCTACTTGCTTGCTTTCTCCTCCAACGTCCGGCGTCTTCTGGTGGGAACACACTGACTCGTTAGAGTCATCAAATACTCAGTCTTTTACTTTCTCCTAAACCTGCAGGGAGCCTGTGACATATGCAGTTTGCCGTACGATCAGCAAGATCTGAGCTAGAACAGTCTTGAATGCCCAAGACCCGCAAAGACGATGACAGATAGGTGGGCGATCTTTTTCTCGTATGCTACGCAGAGTACGGAAGATTTATCCGTGAGAAGAATCTACGGCCTACTGCCGACAAGAAGGTCCTCCGTCTTGCCGGAACCTCGTCTCGAGGGTCTAAGATCTAGTGTTCGTTTGCCGGCAAATGGTCCGGAAAGGCCCTTGCTCTGATCAGCAAAGAATAATAGAACGGTGCGGGTATCCGTTGCAGAATCGGATCTCAGAGACGAAGGACACGGCATATCGTTGACCAGGATGGGTTAGTCGCCCGTTAACCATCCAAATTGTCAGTCAGACATCGGTCTGTTGCCTCGAATATGGCAAAGATATTCAAAAATTTGAATCATAGTCATATCAGCGGTGTAGAGACGGCAAATGTCAGCATCATTGAGAAAAAAACGCCAGAGAACCGAACTTCTAGAAGGAGCACGGGTCTTTCTGGCGCCTGTGCTAGCTTATTTCGTATCCTATACGGAGCGTCCGGCCGCACCATGATACTCCGATATTGCGTTCTGTTTCAAGATGGGAACGAGAGAAACGTGCTCTGTGTTAATATCGACAAGGGTTCTTTCAGGGTTCTTGACACGGGTTTAGTCGGACGAAGCAAAAAGCCACTTGGTCGGCATTTGCCTACAGAGCCGCGGTTTAGTACGCTTTCCAACATAACTTAATTAGGAATTATTGCGATTAGCCGCGTCGATCAAGTGAGGCGATCGGAGTGTCTTCCAGAAGAATACCCCTGTACGGAGTAGGGATATACACGGCTTCTCTCCATGGTGCGACTTCCAGGCTCTCTATCTATGTTTTGCAGCAGCCAGGCCCACATATCTCCCGACGCAACGGACAATCAACCTCTTCGGACGGGAAGCCGTGGGAAGAATGAAGGAATGAAGGAATTTAATCATCCTGAGGAAAAAATAGTGCAGCAGAAGTGAGATTAACCCCCCCGAAATATCCTAGAGTTTGAGTATGTTTATGGGTCCCGGATGGTTTCTAGAAGCAAACCTTGGTTCCATTCTCAACTAATTATGCTAAAAGATCCGCTAACTTGGCCTGGTAGGCAAAGAACTGATCGATGTGCGTCATACGAAGAACACTGCCCTTTCTTTGTTTTTTTTTTTTTTTTTTTTTTTTTTTTTTTTTTTTTTTTTTTTTTTTTTTTTTTTTTTTTTTTCCTGCTCCTGGCGGCGTAGAGATTTCCTCAACGAAATCCACCTTTTCCTCCCGAGTCCGAGTTTGGCCTGGGTCTTGAAACTGGGGACTCTGAAACCCCGATTTTTCTTGAGCCGGAAGAAGTCCCAAAAAAGCAAAAGGAGAAGGAGCAGTTTCTTGCGCTTCCTGTCTACACTCGAGGCGTCTGGCTTTCAAAAATCAATGCCGCTAGCCTTGGTAAGGTAAGCAACGCGATTTGATGCTGCGTGTAATAACCGCGATATCTGATCTTCGCCCGTGTCGGTCAAGGACTCACACCTGTGGTTCGGCAAAACTCACCGGCGGCCAACGAACACGAGAATTGCTTCACTTCCAGAGTAGAGTACTTTTTACTCGATCCGGAATAAGCTAAGAGGGGGAGCCTCTAGGTTCAGTGACCGCCAAGAAAGGTCGATCCTGGGAAATCACCCACTGGAATTTCAAATAAGAGGCCGAAGATCGGTATTAGCCGTCCTGTCCACTTGTTTGGTTCAGCAATCCTCCTTCCTGTTAGATCAATGGCTGCATAAGTCAATAAGTTGTTTCCCCATGCATTTTCCTGGTCGGCTGGCTACCGAGTACGCTAGTGAGTACGATCCAGTGTCTCTAGGGTTTCCCGGGTTTTCCATTTTGGCGGCCCCTGACGCCGATTGGGTTGGGTAGTAGAGAAATGGGGCCCATATAAACTGCTGAATGGTGGATTGCAACATGCCCATGTGGCGTTGAATGTCCTCAGGGATCCACAACACCTAATGAATACAGTTACAGACACGGTGCCATATACGGATTCCCGCCAAAGCAACAATAATACACAATTGACTTGTATACGGGGGGCGGGTGTCACAGGAGAGGGAAAAATAAAATAAAATAAAAAGAAATAAAATAACAAATAAAACAGGTTCCGGGCCTAGTTCGGTGATGCTCTCTCAACAGAGGAACGTCACCGGTCTCAACACGCACATACAGTATCATGATCTTTGCTGCTACATGGAAACCAACCAATCGCGCCAGACCGACTGTCCCCTATGAAATTAGAAGAGGGATTAACTATGCTCACGGCATAAGGTCGGGAAAGTCAGGAGGCGCGTCTAGAGCCGACCCATACACGCCTGGCATATCTGCTGCCACGGCCTCTTGTGGCCTAACCAGTACTAATCCCAACGGATTGGCGAGATGATATTCATGGCATCAGTCAATCTATCGGCTTCTAAAAATGCCCATGACGGTATTCTCGGGACTTCGGACATTAACTAGATAGTATAAGCGGATTTAGTTGAGTGCCTAAATGACGATCTGGAGAAGGGAGCGATCCTTAAGAGCGTATACCTAATTTCTTAGGAACTCTAGCCCGAGGGGGACGAAAAAGGAATTTACTAGCCTAGGAGAGGAGCCACAGCCAACTCCTCTTCCTCCGATCGAGGCTCCTCCCCAAAGCACACTAAAAAAGGTTATCTGCCCATTGTCTTTCCAGATATTCTCAAACGGCTTGTTTTTTCCCACCTCCTTACGGAGTTAGACAAACATAGCAACAAGGTTAGGGTGACCCACGCAGATGGAACAACTACAGTCACGAATTGAGATTTGAAGAGACAGCCTGGAACCTTTTAGTACCCCACGCTGCCCGTTCTGGAACTACCGTTCTCGCCTTACACTTTCGACGTCGCATATGTACCTCGATAACAACAAAAGCCCGCTGCCTCGCTCACTGCTCTGATAAAAGCAAGACAACTGCCTGACCACCACCACCCTCCAGTCCTCGTGACAACATCCGAAAGGGCACACCATGAGCCCTAACAGAGATACACCTACGCCGAAAAAACGAGAGTCGCGCGCGGGGACTCGCAAAGTGACCTCTTTGTCTGCCGAACAGTTGGAGAGAAAACGGGCGAATGATCGAGAGGCTCAAAGGACCATCCGGCAGCGGACAAAGGAGCACATTGAGAACTTGGAGCTGCAGGTCGCGGAACTCAAGGCAAAAGGCCAACAGTTTGATGAAGTTGTAAGGCGCAATGCTATCCTGGAGGACGAAATTAATCGACTACGGAATCAACTGGCGATAGTGGGTGGCAGGCCAGGGTACTCAGATCCTCATAGTGAGTTCTTTCCTTGCTAGGATTTTTTTCTCTTCCTTTCTCCCCATGATCTTATCGTAATGGTTCAGTCGCGTGGCCATCATTGCTGACAAGTTGGGCAACAACAAAAGCATCCTACAACAGCCCACCAGCACCTTCGCTTCCTCCACAACTACCCGGGCCGCTAGGCCTACACCCAGCATCTCGAGCTCCATCCGTCCTATCGACGCCAAGTCAAGTATCTCTCGCCCCAGACTGGCAACACTACAACTCAGCCCGGTCGCCTTCATCCCTCTGCGAAACATCAGAGACAGAATATCCGAACCGGGTTGAGTCATACATGCTGGGAGGGCAACTCCAAGCCCCCCAAATCCCATCCCAAGCACCAGCTTCGATGTCCGTTGCACCGCCGCAGATTCCCGGCTTCAGTGCCTCTGGTGGCACTCGTCTACCAGATCCAACGACCCCGTCCTACCCGCAGTATTACCCAACTAGCAATCCGCACCCGAGCCACGGGGATGACTTGCCGCAGCACAGCCCTCAGCCGGGTGCGATGGCGTACGGTGCTGCGCCGCGGTCGATGCCTGATGCGTCTATCCCACCACCGGACAAGGGACCTGGCGAGTATCCAGTTTTTCCACAGCAGCAGTCGCAGTTTCAGAATGCCCTGGGCCGACCACAGGGGAACCATTCGCAGTACACTTACCCTTGGTACCAGCAGTCTTGAGAGACGGTTGACGCGAGTCAGGGTCACAAAAGAAATTTTTGCATAGGTTCCGATTTCCGTCTGTTGGGCAACGACGCGAGCTGCGAGGCTAGGCCGTTGAAAATTCGTTTACCTTTGAAAGAGTGGACTCTATGATCATTACAGAGAGACAGAGAGCCGGGTGGTTTTACATCCCGTCGTGGTCATGGGGGTGAAGACGCGTCTTGAAGCTAAGAAAAGGGCCTATTTTGCTATCGTGCTGGATCACAGAAGCGTGAGTGTGGTGTAAAAAGCAGTTTAATACGCAAATAATCCATCCATAACTGACTCTCGTTTCGATATTTTACAGGACTCCTTTTGTTTCATCTCGACGAACCTACATTTCCAAGAACCTTTCTACAAGACGACGTTTTTCGATACCTGAATCATTGCGGCGTTTTCTGCATTAAAACCCAAACAGAGCATGGCTATCTCGTCTCGAGGGACGAGGGATAATGATAATCCTACTGAAATAAATCCTCCAAAAATCCGATGACCAACCTCGTCGCGCACAAGAGGTTATACCCGCGGGCCACACGCATATTTGCATCTTGTTTGACCAGCGATTCATTTGACTGGGATTTGGTCTGGAACCGGGTTCCTCGCTCTTACCGATATAGCATACTGAGTATGCATTCTCTGGAATAATCTATCTATCTCTCAGGTGTGATATGGAATACACTCGTACTCCGCTGAATAGGAGGGATAAAATGGAATGGGAACGAGATCTAGTCCGCCAGCCTTTGATTTTGCTTATTTCCTTTTTCTTTTTATCATTTCTTTTGTTGCATTCTTATGTGTCACGAGGTTATTCATATTCATGGTTGCATGGCTGTATGTTGATCTACACTGCAGTAAAGATAGAGATTGGCCTGAAGGGCCTTATAGATTTTTTTTGTTCTCGGTTTTTGCTTTTTTTTTTTTTTTTTTTTTTTTGGGGCTTTTTCT